CGAGAGGATAATTTAAGTTTGATCTTGAATAAATGTCACTTACGTGGTTTTTCTTTCATCACCACGTAAAAAAATATAGGGGATGTATATTGAATAAAAGTTCATAGAGGTATTGCTGTAACAACAAGGTGAAAGCGTTTTTAATCTTGAAATTCTGGCACGATTTTGAAAACAGGAAGGTGTAAAAGGAATCGTTAATAAAACGCGAAAGAAATGGGAATTTGATGAAAGAGGCGTGTTCAAAATTGTGTCGGTAGATAGAAAGGGCTGACGTATTATGGCGTGTACGTGGTTCTCTAAGCTTCTTTCAGAAAATTTTGTAATATATTTTCATCGAACAACGTATGAAAGACATTTTTCGAACGCGTAAAATAAATTCTTCTCGTTAAATTAACCAAAAAAAAAAAAAAAAAAAAAATACTTGTCGTGTTTTTTCAATGAAATAAAGTATCTTAAAAAAGAATAGAACGATTTTGTAGAATTTTTCTAAAAATTTTATAATCAAAACAATTTCTATTCTTTTTTTCTAAACGAAAAAATTATAATAAATAATAATATAGGAAAAAAGTGTGTTGGTAATCGATATATTTAGAGAATCAGAAGTGAAATGTAAATGGATAAGAGAAAACGGATCGTCTGTGGTCAGCCAACTTGTCCACGTTATATATAAGATATAACCGTAACAAAATTTATACATACAAATAAAATTCTCGTATCCATTAATATCCATAAATCGAATAACAATTAATACCAATAATATCTCTCAATTTTAAAAGTATCACATTATTGATCAAATCGACAAACTTTTTAACAATCCTATCTCATCAAATACCTTTCAAAAACCTTTTTTTCCTTTTTTTTTTTTTTTTTTTTTTTATTCATTTCTTTTATTCACACATTCTCGCGCCTGTGCAAACGCGAGAAGGGTTAACATCCCGCCCTTATATCAACTCGCTCTAACCAAACATCTCTCCAACGTGACACGATCCGAGTCGTTTAACATAATCAAACATCTCGAAAGAAAGAAATCTCCCTCAATTTCACTCGATAAACAGAATCGTCAGAGACGTTTCCATAACAGAAACTGCCTATATATCGTCGCCCGACCCACCACCACCGTCAACCCACCACCCGTCATCACCCGTCTCTCACCCTGTTTTTCCAACATTTCTGCTCCCCCGTATCGTCGGCACACCGGGCCTCCGGATGGAACAACGTCACCAGGGACCCTGTAATGAACGTAATTTAAAGTCGATCTCGAGCGGACGTGTGCTCCACAAGTATATGTGTGTGCGCGCGCGCGCGATCGCGGGATGGGCACACATAGGTCGTTTGCCCGTCTTAGAAACTTCGTTACGGGTGAATATCTCGATTCAACGGTGTGACGCGACACAAGTCGGCAAGTTTCCATTCTTCGTGATGAAAACTCGCGAAAGTTTTCGACATAATACCCGCGTAATACGATTCCTCGGATGAAATTATTGTTTTCACGGGAAGATATCCGCCCAATCCACTATGTTGGAATTCGTTTTGGATGGGGATGAATTTTTTTCGTCTCGCTCTTTTGGAAGAATTTTGTGAATGGATAGAAATTTGAGAAAGTTGTATCGTTTGAATAAGAATAAGGTTAGGGGGTGAGGAAAAATAGAAGATATTTGAAGAAATAAAATGGAAGATATGATGAAGCGAATTTGAATGTTATTTGGAAGAATATTTAAAATTTATTAGAAATTGAATTGTTTAAAAGGAATTTCAAAGAGATTGGAAGTTTTCACGGGAACATATCCGCCCAATCCACTATGTTGGAATTCGTTTTGGATGGGGATGAATTTTTTTCGTCTCGAGCTGTTGGAAGAATTTTGTGAATGGATAGAAATTTGAGAAAGTTGTATCGTTTGAATAAGAATAAGGTTAGGGGGTGAGGAAAAATAGAAGATATTTGAATAAATAAAATGGAAGATATGATGAAGAGAATTTGAATGTTATTTGGAAGAATATTTAAAATTTATTAGAAATTGAATTGTTTAAAAGGAATTTCAGAGAGATTGGAAGTTTTCACGGGAAGATATCTGCCCAATCCACTATGTTTTGGATGGGGATGAATTTTTTTCGTCTCGATCTTTTGGAAGAATTTTGTGAATGGATAGAAATTTGAGAAAGTTGTATCGTTTGAATGAGAATAAGAATAAGGCTAGGGGGTGAGGAAAAATAGAAGATATTTGAATAAATAAAATGGAAGATATGATGAAGAGAATTTGAATGTTATTTGGAAGAATATTTAAAATTTATTAGAAATTGAATTGTTTAAAAGGAATTTCAGAGAGATTGGAAATTTTCATGGGAAGATATCCGCCCAATCCACTATGTTGGAATTCGTTTTGGATGGGGATGAATTTTTTTCGTCTCGATCTTTTGGAAGAATTTTGTGAATCGATAGAAATTTGAGAAAGTTGTATCGTTTGAATGAGAATAAGAATAAGGTTAGGGGGTGAGGAAAAATAGAAGATATTTGAATAAATAAAATGGAAGATATGATGAAGAGAATTTGAATGTTATTTGGAAGAATATTTAAAATTTATTAGAAATTGAATTGTTTAAAAGGAATTTCAGAGAGATTGGAAAAATATTTGAAAGTTGTTTGAGGGAGAAAAGAAATTTCGAGAAATATCAGAACTGTTTGAAGAAAAATTCAACGAATTTTGAAATCACAATGAGATCGAAAGAATTTTCAAGGAAAATTTCAAAAAAATTCTAGGTCAAATTAAAAGAAGTAGATACATAAGGGAAAAGGTTCCTTCATAGTCGGACACGCCCCAAGCTCTTAAACTTCCTAAACTTCTCCAATCACGATAAAATCTCCTGTTTCGAATAATAATTATAAATTTCTATCTTCAAATTTTTAGAAAAGAAGAAATATAAATAAGATCTTCATACATATACACATATATATTTAGAAAGAAAATTAGACGAAATTCTTTTTCCTCCCTTTCTAAATTTTAGAAAATAGAATTTTGATCGATAAGGAGGGAAGCTCGTCTCTGGCGAGGAATAGAAAATCCGTGTTCAACGAACCAAGCATTTTCCAATGCAAATTTCCGACACGGTTGGTGGAAAGCCGACCGACAAGGTCACTGGCGAAACTGTTTCCTCGATCGAGACAAGGTTACACGATCATAAAGAGGGGCAGGATCGAGCAAGGTGGCAGGCAAGGATTTCCAGTTTCTGAAACTGGATGGAAACAGCTTGAGAAACTTTCGATTTGCTTTATTTCTTGAATTTCGTCTCTGACCAACTCGTGACTCTTCTTCCGGCCTTGTGGAAACATCTCGAGGATCGAAACGACAATGTGAAAAAAGAAAATATATATATATATATATATATATATAGAAGA